GGAGAAGGGTGGGGAGGGGGATGCGGTGGCGTATGGGAGGATGCAGTGTGGCTGCAGCAGAGCGCGGATGGTAGGGCAGGGCTCTGGTAGGTCTGGCGGGAAATGGAGGACTCTGCCGTGCCCGACCCACGCCCGACCCGCGCCCGACCCGCGCTGTGCGAATCTCCCCGCCCGCGCGCTTTCTTCTCGGCAAAAACCTGGGATGAAATATGAGCGAGATGTATTCTCGACCCACCTAATCTACGGTCCGCTTGTCGGGCGGTTGGGCGCGCAGCAGGGCAATCTGCGGTGCGCGCCCCACTCTGCACGCACACAGAGTATCTTCTTTTCGACCAAATAAAAACTCGGCGGATAGACTTTTCACTTTTCAATAATCTATTTGAATTGCTGTGACGAGAAGTATAAATTTTTTTGTCTCGATAAGGCGAGGGAAACAGTTTTCACTCATTTGGGGCTGAAAAATCTCCCTGTGAAGACGCGAGACATACAGTTAACATCTGCGCACTGTTTAAAAAAAATCTCGTGGATTTCACGAAGTGATGTTGAAAAATATTGGCGGTGTGCCATACCCCTCTCCTTCCCATTCGGTACCACCAGAGGGCATGTATCCACCCCTGGTGGGCAGGAAGGGGGCAGTTGTGGCGGCTCTTTTTGTTGTAGGGAAAGTGGCCCCCTAGCGTCCGTCCGATCTACCCCCTTTATCCCGCTACTCTCCCGCTTTTGTCGCCCCCTTCTCCCCACCACCCTCCGCTCACGAGCTCCGTTTTCGCCGCCGCCATACGGTGGCGCTATGCTATGAACTTTCGCCCGCCGCGCGCTTCGGGAGCGCAGTGAATTATTATGCGATATCGGGAAACTTTTCGCGACGAGCTATAAATCATCCGTTATGGGAGCCAAGCTCACTAACAAAGATGCACCCATCAGGTGAGAGGAAATCACTTTAGCGGAGAAGCGCACAGCTTGTGGCCACGAGAGGCTGGGGGAGAGCACGACAAAATAGACGACCAGGTTTTCGAGCAAGTTTTGAGGAAACTAACACTACGTTTCGCGTGTTTCTTTTCGGTAAAATGCTTGGCTGCTTTGCAAACCTGGAAGTCGTTTTTACCGAGAAAGAGGGAAAGAGAGAGCCTGTCTCGTTTATTCTGTCGACGTCATTTGGGGCACTCTTCCCCCCTCCCTCCCTTCGCCTTGGCCCGATCGTGATCTGGATGCGGATGTGAGAAGGCGGCGGCTGGTGTCTCGTTTGGCGTCTGGAATGATTGATTCCTCCAGATTTAGACTCAGCTCGTCTGCGCGACGAAGCGACACGCAGCCCTCCCCCCCGGCCGTTTGCGGCAAAGTCGTGCGGAATAGGAAAGGAAAAGTCATTTATCCCGGGCCTTCCCGCTCGCCAGCTATTTATTTTATGCACGGATCGTTTCCCGTTCCCGTGCCTCGCCACGTCGCTGTACGCCTCGTCGCCGATGCTGAACAGCAGAGAGACCTTGCTCTGGGTGGCGAGCGGGTGGCAGGCGGCGGCAGCAGCTGCTGTGGCGGTGGCGTGGCGTGGTGGCGGGTGAAAGCGAAAACAGATTTCCTTTTCCCGCGCTACGTAGATGTTTGCCGTGCCGCGTGGCCCCCACTATGTGTTTGCGTCGGGTCCGATTCTGACCCCCCCCCCCTTACCTCTCTTCTTTCACCCCCCTCCCCTCTCTCTCTCTCTCTCTTTCTCTCTCTCCGGCTTGTCGCACCGTCTGATCGGCAGGGTCGCTCGCTGCTTGCCGCGGGTGGCCGACTGGAAGCGTTGAGGCGGGGGGAGGGAAGTGTATGCTTGTCGGAGTGGCGCAGCTGGAGGGGCGCGGGGAGTGAGCATTTCCACTGAGTGCGCACTAGTCTAGTTGCCAATCATGACGGGCCGAAATCGACACTCTCGCCGATGGTCCACTGGATCCGCTGGCTCTGGAAACAAGAAAAGTATGGGAAGCTGAACAAATACGCCCTTCCGAACAGGCAGAAATGTGAGAAATCACACCTTTGGCAGCGACAACAACATCACATACGGCGGTACGTTTGCCCCCCCCCCCCCCCCGCATTCTTTTTTGAAAGAAGCGCCCGCCCGTGCCTTGTAGCGCCCTGGATGAGTAACGACCTGGTGACACGGCGCGACGTCAGGCTGCTGCGTTCTATTATGAGCTTCTCATCATGTCTTTCTCTATCTCTTGCTCTCTCTCTCGCCCGCTCTCTCCCTCCCATTTCTTCCCTCTCTCTTTCTCCTCAAACTTAACCCCCTCCCATCTCCCCCACCGCCAGAACCTTTAGTTCCATCATCCATCCGCTCCGAGCTGAAAGGATGTCTAATGAAGCGACCGTACGGCATTGGTAGAGTGTCCTTCTGGTCCTGCTGAGCTACTCTTTTTTGAAACAAAAAAATAACTTGGAACATTGGTTTTTGTTGGATGAGTAATCTTATGCATAAATCAGAAAAGAGGTATAAGTACCGCTTACTCTCAGGTAGAACACGTTTGTAAAAAGTCGAAATTGCCTCATTTTGACGTTCGTCGTCACACAAAATTTCATGCGGCTAGTTAGCTGCATTGAGCTCATTTTGTCGTAAAATGCGGGTCATTGACGAGTTTTTGACGATTGCGTTCTACCTAGGCTTGAACTGTGAAACTTATTTAGTGTTCTGTCATGTTCGAAGTATAATTTCCGCTGATTCTCAGTTTTTTATTTCTCCGAAAGTGATTTCTTTTCCCCAATGAGTGGTAGCTCGCATTTCTTCCCTTTCAAAAAGTCTCTACAAAAGAAAAACCCATCAGAACACAGCTCTTCTTATTTCATCTCGCCTCAAATGAAGTGTCAAAACCCTTCCATTACCCCCGCCATTTAGCGACGTTGTCCCCCCCCCTCACCCTCTCCCCTGCGGCCTTGGGACCGATTACAAAGCGAGCCCACCCCGCCCCCTTGTGTTGGGCTGCTCCCTTCAGCTTTCGGTATTGAGCCCTTTTTTGCCGCACGAAATAAAAAAAAAGGACGCGAAAAAAGTGCCGCTGCTGGAGACGAAAAAGGTCGAGCGGACGCACGAAAACCGCAATAACGCGCAGTAGTAAGATCCAATTATGCCAAGGGTTACTCAGTTTCAGAATGTGGGTGTAGATAGTTGGTAAGATTTACAAAGCAAAACATTTAAATGTTCCATTCAATTCCAATTGTATTTTTTTTAAAGAAACCATAGTGACTACGCATTCAGATTCCTAAACACAATACTGTTTTGGTTCTGCTTCGTCTATTCGAGATCTCCTTTCGCAAATAATGGACGACGCGTATCTTTCTACACACTGCAAAAAATTATGACAGGAAAACTACAGATCGTCCTGCTAATTATTTTCCAGGAACTTCTGTTATTCGAATAACAGCATCGATGTAGTTTTAATGGTTTAAATTTGGTACAGGGAGCAATGTACAGGACCACTGTAAGGCAAAAGCGCGGACAAAACTGTCTACAGTGGAGCCGTATTCGTACACTGTACCGTGTAAATCCTGGTCTTTCCGGTGCTACAGCAACACTGTACTACGCGCTCTGTACCCTAGGTGCAGTGACTAAGAGCGGCATCTACAGTAACGCTGTAGATCGTTCTGTATCAGACTCTAAATTTTTTGCAGTGCAGAGGAGATCTGTCCGTGTCCCTGACACAAGTTCAAACTGTAGGAGGAGAGAATCACTGTCACGTCGTCTTATTTGAATGTCTCCGAAAAGATTTAATCCGTCACCACCACCACCTGCTTTGCTGTCCCAGTCCCCCCGATTCACGCGTTCTATTATGTCTGTTTTACTTCTTTTGCCTCCCCCTTCATCGTTCATCGCGCTTCAGTGTTTCGCCGTGGCAGAGCGAAGGGCAGCGAGGCGCACGTCCAGTCACAATTAACTGATGGCAATGAGAGAGAGGAGAGAGGGGGATGGGAGAGAGAGCGCGCGAGAGAAGGAGAGGGGGCAAGGGCAAGGGAGCGG